ACTAGCAGATAGATATAAAGATTAGATAATATTCATCAAATTGTAATTTTTATTTCTTACCTTTAAATTTGTAATGAATTATTTCAAAAAACGTTGCAAATGATAGTGATATGGGTAAGTAAGTGCTAACCTAATTGGGATTTACTCATCTATTGTGATGCGACAAATTTCGAAATAAATTTATAATTGTAAAGGATTTACTGATTATTAATAAAGAAATTATTTTTATCATTTTTTATTTTTATAATTTTTTGTACTTATAATTTATGTCATTTCAAGTTACTAAAAAAATTTATGTTATTTTCTGTAATTTTTATGTATATTTTATAATTTATTGTTTTTTTTAAATTAAAAAAAAATAAAAAATAGGAAAAAACCGGGCCGGCCCGAAGCCCGGCCCTCTCAGGCCCGGGCCCGGACCCGACCAGGGTCCGGGCTTCGGTTTTGCCCGACCCGGGCCCGGTTTCCTGAGCCGGGCCGGATGGACACCCCTAATTGTGGTGCTTTAGTTCAAGCATACACTAACGTTATCCCCCTGGTTCACATTTATTTAACTCTTCCTTCAAGGTAAATAACAATTATTTACCAAACAATATGTGATGGTGATTAATAGTAGTGTTTCCCCATGATTTTTCCAACAGTGGACGCTATAAATCCAAACTCATCTGTCACCCGATCTTAAAAGAGCACAGTATCTTTGAGCCGGTCAATCACATGCTATCATTAATCACAACATTTATGAACGCCATCTTCCACTGTACAAAGTTATAATTGGTGTATTTTTGTCACTCAATAATCCCTTTAAAGCCTCCCATACTGCCTCCAAACTCCACACGTTTCCAAACCCCTATAATATCTCCTTGTTCTTCACCGAGTCTCCAAATTGGTACGCCCTTTGTTTCTCGTCTCCCCTTTTTTTCTCAATCAAGTTGTTTTGAGCCATGCCTAGCTATGCAAAGCATGGCTGCATCATGCCACTACTCCTCGCTCTCATGATCATTTTTATAACCAAACATATCCAATATGATGAGATTATGTATTCTTGGAGCCACATTGTGGTGCTGGCCTCGTCCGGTGTACATGATAGATTTCTCGTGCTACAAGCCCGAGGAATCCTGCAAGTACACCCGCGAGGCCTTTGTGGAACGGAGCATAGTGCTCGGCATGTTCACCGATGCCAACGTGCAGTTCCAAAAGAAAATACTGGAGCGGTCAGGGGTCGGGCAGTCTACGTACTTCCCGCCAGCGGTGGCGACGATCCCACCGGATCTTCGGATATCGGAGGCGAGGAAGGAGGGGGAGATGGTGATGTTTGGGGCTGTGGATCAGTTGCTCGCAAAGACTGGGATTGAGACTAAGGCTATTGACATACTGATTGTCAATTGTAGCTTGTTCAGTCCCACACCGTCTCTCGCTGAGATGATCTTGAATAGGTATAAGCTTAGAGAGGATGTCATTTGCCATAATCTTAGTGGCATGGGATGCAGTGCTGGGCTCATCTCCGTTGAGCTAGCTAAACAACTTCTTAAGGTCAGTCACGCTAAACTTTTATTTGATTTGATTTTTCTTAGAATAGATTCATTATTCTATGATGGGTGTTGCTACAGGGACCCAAATAAGGGACCCAAGGCATGGGACATATGAGGTGTCACCATCCGGCTGCATGATGCACCGTTCATGAACAGTGCATCATGTAACAGGATGGTGACACATCACCTGTCTCATGCCTTGGGTCCCTTATTTGGGTCCTTGAGGTATTAATGTTCATGAATAGTGCATCATGCAACCGGATGGTGACACCTCACATGTCTCATGTCTTGGGTCCCTTATTTGGGTCCCTGTAGCAACATCCAACATTAATGTTCTATGATTTGTCAATATTTACATTTTGCTTTCACGGGTAGACCTTTCTTTGCTTATCCTGAGCTAGAATGCGGGCATGAGTAGTTTGAGTACCATCAATACGGTAGGGGCACAACACAATAATGACAAGGTAAAAAGTAAAAAAATAATAATAATGATGGGTGTTATTAGTAGGATTAATTGCAGATGGTTCCCCTGCAGAACCTTTGTCCTGAACTTACTATCCCTCTAGTATCATGTTTGCAGGTAGGCCCCCCGAATGAAAATGTTTTGACTCTTTTACCGTCAAGTTAAGAAGAGAAAACTATTCATTGACAAATGACTCCCTAAGGCTAAAGAATGTAGAGGGGCAGTAAGTCCAAAACAGCGATACTATAGGGGTTCTATCCGCAATTAACCCTCAATGATAAGGAAATATTATAGTTTAAGGGAAGTTAGGGGAACCATTCAACTTGTTTGGGAACATTTGGGAGGTAAAGTTATTCACCCTAGTTCCCTTAGTTCACCCCTTAATAGTATAAAATTTGTTACCCCCAAATTAGGGTGTAACCAAAGGGAAGAGAACTCACTTCCCTTTCTTTCTCTCACCTAGTTTCCCTTAACTTCCCTTAACCCCATTGAAATCCAAACACACACTAACAAAAGTGAGGATACAAACTACAGCAAAGAGAACAAAATGCTCATGTTGAAAACAAAAGATAAGAACATATCGCGCCATTTTAAGTTTTTAACCCTGGATTTTTCTTGTACATGTTTTAGGTGCATCCTGAGTCCTACGCATTAATAGTGAGCACAGAGAACATAACCCTCAACGGATACTACGGCAACCAGCGCTCAATGCTCGTCACAAACTGCCTCTTTCGCATCGGAGGCGCCGCAATCCTCCTCTCCAACCACCGCTCCGATGCCCACCGTGCTAAGTACGTCCTCTCCGACCTAATCCGGACCCACAAGGGCTCAGACGACGCATCCTACAGTTGCGTCACCCAAGAGGAGGACGACGAGGGTAAAGTTGGCGTTTCGCTCTCCAAAGATCTCATGACCGTCGCTGGAGACGCGCTCAAAGCCAATATCACGACGTTAGGACCTAGAGTACTACCAATATCAGAACAGTTAAGATTTTTACTCTCGTTGATCGAGCGAAAGCTGCTTAAAAGGAGGGGTAGTAAACCTTACGTGCCCGATTTCAAGAAAGCTTTCGAGCATTTCTGCATTCATGCTGGTGGAAGAGCGATATTGGATGAGTTAGAGAAGAATTTGGGGCTTGATGAATGGCACCTGGAACCGTCGAGGATGACTTTGTATCGGTTTGGCAACACGTCGAGCAGCTCTCTATGGTACTGTTAGATAATTGCGGATAGACTACCTGTAGTGCCATTGTTTTGAACTTACTGCCAGATGAGACCCCCTAGCTCAGTGAAAAATTTCTCTTGACTCTTGTAGTTTTATCTTTTTCGATTGTATGAATAACAGGAGATAACTTTTTTTGACAGGTATGAATTGGGATACACCGAGGCGAAGAGGAGGGTGAAGAAGGGGGATAGAATTTGGCAGATTGGATTCGGGTCGGGTTTCAAGTGCAACAGTTTGGTTTGGAGAGCTCTGAAGGATGTCGAGCCTGAGGAGAAATATCCATGGATGGATGTTATTGATGAGTTCCCTGTTCATGTGCCCAAAATTGCAACAATTAACTTATAATTCCTTTAAGATTATATATGCCATAGTGTATTGGAGGGTAAGATTTTATGGAGGGATGGAGGGAGATTTTATTTCAAGAGAGATATTGTTGGATAATTATTATGATTTTATGTAGCGTGGTTATTATGATTAAGGACGCTATTTACATAAAAGAGAACTTTGTTGGTTGCAGCAAAATGTGTTGTTTGGTTATGTGATTGTCAAGAGCTGGGAATAATTTTTCTGCGTGATTATACACAGTTATCTGTTATATAAATGATAAGTCCTAAGGATGAATATACTAAGACAATAATTTTATATGAAAGGAAAGCTGTGCTTAACAGTGATGATTTATGCTTATTACAAGATATTTGATGTAAAATTCTTAATTATATCTGTAAAATCCAGATTGAACTGTAACTCAAATATTTGAACAATCTAAAACCTGAACTATGTTCAAAATTTTCAAAGATGAATTCAATTTGTCCCAATATTTACTATCTTAGACATGACCATTTACATATGAACTTCATATTATTTTGAGTTTGTGTGGGATATATTTGAAGGGGATCTGAGCATGAAGTTTGATTAAAAAACTTCACTGGAAAAGTGCAAGCCAACAAGTAGGTTTTAAAGCAGGTAATAAATGTTCCAACAGCTTGTGTTATGTGCCAAAGGGGAAAGAAAAAAGCGTCGTATTAGATTTTGGAAGTTGTTTGTGGCTGAAAGTGTATTGATAAAAATTTATGAAGGGTCTTAATTAAAGGTCAGGACCATCCACAATACGTTTGATCTTATCAAGTAGGTGCATTTTGTTGGATAGGGAATTCCTAATTTATTTTGGTAACATGAGGTTATTAGGATTCCTAGTCTACTTTGGTAACATGAGATTATTAGGATTCCTAATCTATTTTGGTAATAGGTTATTAGGATTCCTAATTTGATTTGGTTTTGGTTTAGAATTCCTAGTATGTTTATGATTTTAGGATTTCTATATATATGGAATAATTGGAAGAGAAAATTGGTGGAGAAGAAAAATTAGGGATATTTGGAGCACAGAAAAAAGGTATTTTCTGAGCTATTTGTTTAGGGTTTTGTTTGGAGAGATTAAGAGTTTGTTGGTGAGATTAGTTTGTTCCTTCGAGTGATTTGTAATCTCAGTTTGTACTCTTTCTCTATTAGTGAAAACCTCATCTCTTTCTTGCCCCGTGGACGTAGGCAACTTGCCGAACCACGTAAAACTATTGTGTTTGGATTTGTGCCGTTGTTTTGATTTGTTTGGCCTTTATCTCGACGTTTGTTTGATTTGGTTCTCGAAGCACGCCCGTTTGGTTGTCACGCTTCCGCGGCGCGCACAACACATTTTCGTATGGATCACTTAAGACTTAAAAAAAAAAAAAAATCAAGTAGGTGCATTTTTGTAAGGATCACTTGACTTTATCATATGCTGTTTATAGGATTGAAGTGTCACCAATCATTTCTTGATATGAAGCCTAATTTTTGGCAGCCTTCTTTTCCTAATCTTGTCAGCTTTATACATATCAATTAATCACTATAGCAAACATATTGCTTTCAAAGGAAAAGAAACAGATTGATAACAAGATATCAAAATCAGTAGAGGAAGTTCCTTTAAAAATATCGCCTGCTCCTTACAATTGGCCTTGCTTAAAATCAGCAAGCTACGGTGGAGAAGGTATCTAGACAAGCGTTGCCCGGAGCTCTGATACCACTTGTTGGGGGAAACCCCCGATGCCGAGATCCAAAATCAAATCGCCGAGAGAGAAAGCCAAACACACCAACTCAATTAGCACAAATAATCAACACCAGTTTTAACGTGGTTCGGCGAGATGCTTACGTCCACGGGGCAAGGAAAGGGGAGTTTTCACTATTAGAAATCAAGGGGATACACTAGGGTTACAAATCTCGCAAAAAACTCTCTTCAAATCACACTTGATCTCTCCAAATGCCCCTACAATAGAAGCCCAACAAAACCCCTCTATTTCAGCTCAAAACCCTTGCACTCCAAACCCTAGAAACACCCCTTAGCTATTTATAACAATCCAAAACGAAATGGGTCTGGAACCCAGATTCAGCCCAACCGCTTCGGGCGGTCGACCGTGGTGGTCGACGCAAGGCAGGGCATCCGGTCGATCCCGTCAGGTCAACCGCAAGTCCGGCAACTCCAGAAGCAGGCACCAAACTCCAGAAGAAAAATACGGTCGATCGCCACGGTCGACCGCCAAAGATCCAGAGGTACAGTGAGGCCCTTGTGCACGAACGAGGTCGACCGCCAGCAATTTCCACAGGTGATACGCCGACCATCCAAAACGTTCCCCAGGCTCCATCAACTGTTCTACCAGTCCTACAAATCTCCACCCCGGCGAACGTTCTCCCAAAACTGAACCGACACTGACCACACCAAATACCTCACTTGTTGCTTTCAGTACGTCATGGCAACAGACTCATGACAACGAACTCCATCCATAATAAGTTGAGACCCATACGGGAGTGCGAACACTCACCCAAAGCAATAGTTTCTACTCACCAAATCGGCTGCATCATAAAGACTGCCTACGTATCCTCTAGTCCAAGGAATCAAGCCTTCACGTAGTTCACCCAATGGCCTCCAAAGGCTCTCAATCCAAAAGAAGAGTTCTCAACTCTTCATCAACATCAACACCCAATCTGCGGCTGATAGCTTCACCAATGACCCCGAACTGACACGATCTAAACACCTCCACCTGAGGTGACCCAATGACCATATCCAAGGTACATCCACCAGCTGCACTCGAATCTACCAACTCATCATTTGTATCCTGAACATTATGATCCCCAAACTATGTCATATCAGCTGGAATCCCAAATAATGCAGAATGACCTGGAGTATGTGAAGTAATCTCCACCCAATATAGAGTACCATCACCCTCCACCCGCTATGATATCCCACTAATCTGATCTACACTCTCTACCTGCCGAGAGTCCAATGTGACATACCTGCTCTAAACAAACTCGGAAGCTCTCAACTGATAGCCAAAAGAGCCTCTGAATCCCAATCGTGCAATAAGATCCAATCTCACATCCACGATGTGACCAAGTACTGGGTAGCCAAACATCCGACACAACCTAAAGTCTGAAACAGCTCCACTAGATCTAACAACTCTCAATGCAGCAGTCGGCGACCTCATAAGATGGTCCAAACATGTCGGAGCCCAAATATCAAATCCACTGCTCGACAACCAACGCCGATCCTTCTTCAGAAAGGAACAGCTCACCGAATCCGCCATCTCATCTCGTCGCCCCCAATGTCTCTTCTCCTACGAAATGTCTCCAACTGCCATGAGCTCGGCATGAATGCAAGAAAGAACCCCTACTAGAACTAGTACGATGGGTAACCTTTCTGCCAATACACCTCCTTCAACTGTTGCGGACTACTAGGGCTTCATACCAACGGGACTTGGTCGCAACCCATAAATACCTAGTACAATCCCCAACATAGGAAACAAAATACCGATTACATCCCAATGATGCCTCCTTGGAAGGCCCCCTAATGCCTAACTGAACACTTCCAATAAGACCCCTCAATCGATGAATAGAAGTGCCAAACTCCACCGCGGTCTTCTCGCTTATCCCAACGTACTCAAAGGACTTCAATCAACAGGACATAACATTCCTCAACAATCTATGCATGACATAACCAATCATATATCCCAGCAACAAATAATGCCACAGTCTAACCAAAGAAGTTGTCAGCTCTCTATCAATCACCGTGCTCCCAAGCAAATAATACAAGTTGCTCCTTCTGATGCCCTTCATCATAATCATGGACCCCAATGTGACCTTCAAGCATGCATCAGCCAAGATCACCCTATAGCCTGCTGCCTCCTAATACCCCAAGTGAAATGATGTTCTTCTTCAATTAAGGAACAAACATCATTTCAACCAACTCCCGAATCATCACATCACTCATCCGAATCCGAACGGTATCGATACCACCAATAGGGCATTTGTGATCATTGCCCATGAGCATAACATCCCCTCTTTCCAACTACTGAAAGCTGGAGAACCAATCTCTCCTAGAACATATGTGGTAAGTAGCATCCGAATCCAACATCCACTCGGTGGAGTCGGCAACACTAACTAACGGAAGAGTTGGACACGAATAGCCCAAAGAATCCGAATCTAAAATATCACCACTAGCCTTGGCAACATTCAACTCTGAAGCTTGAATAGCTTTTCCCTTATTCTTCCCGGCTTGCAATTTTAGGCATTCGGCTTTTCAATGTCCATCCTCTCTATAAAAAGCACACTGATTCCTACCAACTATAGGATATGCCCCCTAGACTGTGACCTCCTATCACGGTTTGGACTTTTAGCTCTTACGACTCATGCCCCCGCTACCAGCTCAATAGAAATCTTATTTTCCTTCTTTCGAAGTTGATAATTCACAAGTGCCGCGGTGACCTCACTATACGAAAGAGATGTATTCCTATTAATAAGAGTAAGGACGAAGGTCTCATATTCCTCGTCGGGCAAGGAACTCAACAATAGCAACGCCTTGTCCTCATCTTCAACCATGACATTTACATTCGTCAAATCCGCAAGAAGCTTCGTGTAGTGGTTCATGTGATCACTAATGGATGTCCCCTTCTTCAATTGTAAGCGATAAAGCCTCATCTTCAAATGCAAGCGATTTTTGACACTCTTCGTCAAATACTTGCCCTCTAGGACTTCCCAAATCTTCTTTGCCGAAGTCTCATTTATCACATCATATTTTAGATCTTGAGTAAGACAAGACCTAATCACACCACATGCCGTTCTATTCATTTTCTTCCAAACCTTCTCATCAATGCCATCCAGTTTCCCGTCCAACTCCAATGTATCTTTCAAATTTTGCGCATTTAGCGCATCCAAGACTTCATATCTCCAAAGTCTAAAATTATTTGTGACATTGAACTTCTCCACATCTATCTTTATAGAATGAATACTCAAACTTTGGACGGTTTTCACACTAGAAGAACTCTCCCCACCTTTATCCTTTCCCGGCCATATATCTCAAAACATCCAATAACAATTGCGGAACAAACAAGAAATCGATCCAACTGAAAAAGAGAAAAACTTTACCATAAATATCCCACCTTTAACACCAACCAAAGCTCTAGATGAACTTTCCAACTGATCTACTCCTCCAAAAAG